ATGCAGTTATTTCACGCCGGTATTCTCTGAGAGCGTAGTCCTTCCTCGTTAAGCCCATACTTTCGATCTTTCATAAAATGGCTGAAGTTCATACTGCGTAGATCGGAACAAATATTAATAGTTTTAATTTTTGTTCCGATTCTCATTATTCTACCCCTAGAACCAGGTCTACCCCCAAAATAATATCTTTATATATAAAAATTACGTGTCACGTTGTTTGTCCGCGTTGAACTCCTAAACTACTGAACTGATTTCAATGAAATTTTGCACACTCTGTGCAGTTTGGTCCAACTTGAGAGATAGGACAGTTTTTATCCTGATAAGTGACACTTAAAATTTTTTTATTGTGAATTTACGTTTTTATTATATGAAGGGTCATCGAAAAGGGCAGAACAACGTCTGCCTGGTCAACTAGTATATTATATATTATTCTAGGGGTAGACCCGGTTCCTCTCGTGACCATGGGTGTTGTAAAGTGCTCGAAACGTCGGGAATATAAAATAAGTTAATATACGCGATAAAATCCGTAAAACTAGTTTTATTTAAAACTACGTTTGTTTTTGTGAACATACATTAAGTTTTCGTAAATATACTGAGTGGCCAAAGTTAATGTATTTATTTCCTAAAAAAATTCTCAGATAGACTCTTTCGGCTTTAGGTTGTAAATAACTCTTATGGCTCTCTTTTGCAAAACAAAACTAGTTTCTGAATCAGCTGCATTTCCCTATAGCAAAATCCCATATTAGATTATGCTATGGGAATAACTGAAATAAACTAATCTAGCTGTCTCGACACTAGTGAGATCTCTTTACAAAATCTCTTCTTTACAGAATAAGCTACAGAGCTTAGTCTGCTTGCCAGTTTAGATTTATGGAGGCCCCACTAAAGCTTGGGGTCGAGCGTAATGATAAGAAAAACGGTGGATTCTTCAGGAATCAGTTCTTCCCCATTTCATTCCATTCGCAGGTAATCTAGCCTAGAAAATTATGTTCTACAAATTTGAAATAATTAAAAATTTTGTACAACCTACTTCAATGTAAGTTATAAAGAATAACTCAAAACTATTAGTCAAACTTTGATCAAATTTATCGTAAAATCGAAAAAACTTGTATATGTATATATATTTTAATATATATTTTACTATTCATTAACTATATGTATTCAAGAAATCTGCCAAAGTAAGCTATCCCTGCGGGCACTATTAGGCTGGATTATACGTGAAAATGGAGTGCCATTGCTGCTAAATGGCACACATTAACTAGAATAATTTGAAATCGTATTTACTACAGCTGGATAAATAGCTATGAGCAATAAATCTGGTAAAGGTTATATTATATTAGTTAGACCGAGGTTAGGTTTAATACAATTATCACACTAACAGCCCTTTTAAAATCTATTTTTGTACGTACCAATACAAGAATCCTGTAGATGGCGTAAGCAAGTGTCATTAACTTGAAAGTGAAGTTAAAAAAGTTATAGACTACATTTAAGAGAACGAATAGGAATATCATTCTGACGCAGCAGTCAAAATATATTTTCGTGTCACCTTACATCAAATTTTTTATGAAATTCAATTTAATGATGACAGCTTTTCGATATGTCTCTCAAGAGGTATGCATCTTGAGGTTGAAACTCGTTTGGCAGAAATATTTGAGTATTATATACGCGCCGCGTATATCTAAAGTGATATAATGGGAAAACGAGGAACGATTTATATTTACTTTTCAAGCGACTACAAAAAAGGATGAGGTTTTCAATTCGTCGAAATCTTTTTTTTTTTAAGTATGTTCATCGATAACTCAAAGACGCATGAACCGATTTAAAAAATTCTTTTGTCTTGTTTCAAAGGGTATATACTTCGCAGGTGGTCCCATTTAAATTTCATCGAAATCGGTCGAGGGGTTTTAAAAAATCAACCATAAATTATATTCATATTGAAGTTGTTTATACAAAATTTTAAAATTACCACGTGTATTCATCATCATCATTACAGCCTATCAAAGTTGGCTTCCCCATAGATTGCCTCACGGGAGATAATTGCCATAGTTGCCACGCTTGGCAAGCGGGTTGGCAACCGTAGCTTTATATTTTTAGTCGTTATTAGGAAGACGCTGCTGCCCATGCATGTAATACACGAATGTTACAAATTTAGGGCCTCCCCCACTAGATGGAGTGACGATCTGATAAGATAAGCTTCATTTATTACCAAGTAGAACTGCTTTTTTACAGAAGAGTATAATATACGCAATGGCACCAGTGCTGTGTGTGTGCAATTAGAGATGTGCATTAGGGATTGTGACAACATAAATAATTATAAACGTAAACTTTTGATCTTCTAAATGATAAAGCATATTATTCTATAGATGAATTCCTTAATGATACATTTTGACATTAAAATATTATATTATTAAACTGCATTGACTACATAACTATCATGTAATGTACCTATTATTAGATGACAATACCTTTATCTTTAAATTTTTCATAATTATTAATATATACAAATAAATAAAATTGAAGTGTCTATTTGTAATGTCAAAATAACAGCTTTTTACTAAATGCATATGAAAGTATATACGGTGCTTATAACAAAAACACAACTTTTAACATTTTTGTCTGTCTGTCTGTCTGTCTGTTTGTTTCGGCTAATCTCCGAAACGGCTGGACCGATTTTGATGGGACTTTCACTGGCAGATAGCTGATGTTATAAGGAGTAACTTAGGCTACTTATATTTTAGAAAAATAATTAGGGTTCCGCGCAACATAGTTAAAACCCTAAATTACACGCGGGCGAAGTCGCGGGGAACAGCTAGTATATTATATAATGATTTCAATTAGAACCTGACATCAGAAGAGAAAAAAATTAATTAATGTTACTTATCAATTTTATATTTTGTATGCCTACTGGCGGGACATAGAGAACTTACCTTATATTTTGTTATGTACATATCGAGATCTGTAAATTAACCTATGTTCACAAAATTAACAGATTTGATCTGATTTGAAGACATGCACTTGCATCCATCGACTTCCTAGTCGATGGATGCAGGTGGATTGGGACTGTGCTTTATGGCATTCCTTGGGTGAGGTCTATGTTCAGCAGTGGACTTGTGAAGGGCTGTAATAATGATGGTGATGATGTTTCATATTTAAATGGAACTATTTTTAAGGGTCCTGGTCTGCAGTTTGTGACAATATTCACGACCGCCGCTTCCATTTTTTTTTCAAATTTGGTATCAAATATTTACAAAATAACACATAGTCCTAGGCGTATTCCTTACAGCTTATAAAAGTCCACGGCTGAACGTAGACCTCCCCTATAGATTGCCTTTCCCACTGGGTTTTGTCAAGCTTGGCAGGCCAGTTGGCAACCGTAGTTTTTAATTATTTTGAGCTGTCATCGTGAAGATGCTGCTGTCCATCTCCTTTTCCATTTTCCCTGTGATATGGGGTTGTACATATTGTTATATCGCCAAAATGCGGTTGTTACACGATAGGCTATTGAAATAAATAAAATCCTTATTTCAACAGAGAAAATGGCCGCATGCTTGGGATGTTGTAATTAAGAAAATTAAATTCAAATCCAAACTTATCACCGCAAAACTATAAGATACAGTGACCTCATTTCTAGTAGTTTGGCCAAAATTAATAATTTAAGCTGAAAGCGGCCCAAGTTTACTATGTCATGTGTAAATCAAACATCTTACACTCACTGTGACCATAACTGTAGTAAAACACTTAAAAATAACGAGAATACATTGAATATCAGTATCTATACAAATAAATAATATTGAAGTTTCTCTTTGTAATGTCAAAATAATAGCTTTTTACTTAATTCATACGAAAGTATATACGGTACTTATAACAAATACACAATTATTAAAAACGTTGTCTGCATGTCTGTCTGTTTGTTCCGACTAATCTCCGAAATGGCTAGACAGATTTTGACGGGACTTTCACTGGCCGATATCCGATGTTTTAAGGAGTAACTTAGTAGCCAACAAAGTACTTTACTACTTTAATTTTAGACAAAAGAGTTAGGGTTCCACGCAAAAAAATTAAAACCTTAAATTACACGCGGGAAAAGTCGCGGGGAACAGCTATTATAATAACTAGAATAGTATTATCATCATCATTATAGCTCTTCACAAGTCCACTGCTAAACATAGGCCTCCCCCGAGGAATGTCACAAAGCACGGTCCTGAACCACATAAGGCCGTCACTAATAATATTATAATAATTAATTATTAGTTAAAATAAACGCAATTAAATCTATAAAAATGACTTTAAGTGCCTTTCTGAAATATAGCTACGTGTTTGTAATATCCTTTGCCCTGAGGGCACAATTTGCCTGGGAAGAGGTGATCTAATATACGCAGCCAAATAAATGCGTATCCACCTGTGATATTTGTAAATTTAAAATTTTCCCGTTCCTTTGTCCTTTGTTTCATCGTATAAAGGAATTGCGCGATAAATGAGTTATTGTCATCAGCATTTCTTTCATGTTTTGATGTTCCGAGGAATTTTATTTTTGTGTTCTCACAGCGTTCATAATGTAATTGAAATTTATTATATGGAAATGATACCTAGAACGTACATTATAAATCAACTTCAAATAAACATTTCTTATCTATGTTTATTTATGCGAATACTACACATTGAATAAAATTATTTTACAAATTAGCGCGTTTAATTTTTACTTTTTTAATTCCCGACGTTTATATAAATGTAATAAAATGAGGCAATTTTGATATATGAAAAAAATCAAAGACAATTTCGAATTAAGAAAATTGGAAGTGGTTAAGATTCGGTATGTACTTACTATTAACTTTCCAATTAGTGAATAACTTCGATTGTTTTGTTTGAAATTAATTACCAAATCGGTTTTATTGAAAAGGTAATTAAGTATCATTATTTGCGAAAATAAAATCGCATGCATTTCCTCCCTTACCTAATGGTAAGGCAGGATATGCATGCTGATCAAATTACTCTTTTTACAGGTCGTTGCGGAGTTTGAGGACGTGGAGCCCGATGCGCTTTATGACGTACTCCACGACCCTGAGTACCGGTCGGTATGGGATACGCACATGCTGGGCGCGGAAGACGCCGGGCATATCAACGTTAACAACGACGTTGGATATTACGCGAGTAAGTTTATTGTTACCATTACTTTTAGAATCTTGGTGTCCATCATTGTTCATAATATCCTTTAGACAGAATTTTGGTCACGAGTTCAGTCTCAACGGAGACTAGCCATCAGTCAGGGGTTATAACGCCCAAGTGCATGTGCGCAAGCACAGGTGCACTCTCTATTCCCTCACTCTCATAGTAATCCGATGGGACGGTAAACCGACACGACCGGAGAGAGATCAGGCGCAGGACCAACGGCTTTCCGTTCTTCCTGAGTTACGTTGGTAAAACACCGCCAATTTTCTGATTTCGGGCTGCTGCTGCTGAGTATTTTTGACAGAAAAACCCAATTGTAAGCGTCAGTAGCCTAATGGCAGGGCGCGTACCGCGAACTCGAAAGGCAACTCGAAAGACCACTTCTAACACAAGCATTTTAAGCTTACCAGAAGTGGTTGAAGGGAATATTACTCGTAGTAATGTTCAATAGCATTACTAGTATTTAAAAAAAATACTGATTTTTGACCCGAATCGGGGTTTGAACCCGGGTCCTTATAATCGACAGTCACGCTTCATAGGTTTCTAAGGCTCAACTCTGTGCTAATTGTATCTAGCAATTTTTTTTGTCATTTTAAAGTAGTCATTATGTGGTGTGATCGTTGCGTTACTACTCTTGACGTCTCAATTTCATAACTAGTTAGTTTGAGCTTTTAATTATTAATTTTTTGGTTGGTCATTTCTTTTTTTTCTATTTATTTGATAATAATTTGACAATATCAAAATTGATATTTTACGGTGTAAACATAAGCTATACAGCTTTACTGTATACCGATTCCATTAACAAACATATCATAATAATTATTATGCCTAATAATTATGTCATACATCATAATGTTGTGAGCTCGTTGTATTTAAAAATATTTCATTGATATGTTTTGGGTTTGAGTTTTGATTAGGGGTTTAGTTTTTTTTAATATGATTTTAAGCCGATGGTAAAATAAAACCAACTTGTCTATTGAAATCACCATCTGATTATCCTTGGCAGGGATCGGTGTTCTTTTGTCAGGAATTGTGGACAATCAAAATCTGATGATACACGGCAAACTATACCGGTGAAATAACGTCGTGAAAATTAAGGTGTTTTAAAACAAACTATTTATTATTTTATATATGAGTTTTAATATAGTAAAATAAACACAGGTACAAAAACATACAGTACAATTACCTACTTTTAATATTATAGCGAAAACGTAAGCCATTGTTACTATTCACAAAGCCATATCGATCACCGTGTGAAATGCTGGCCTGTCTGGCGGGAGGAAATGTTACTCATGAACTGTATCGATATAACCTGCATGCTGTTACTACTTTAGATATTGTAGTCAAATCAATGTTAAAACGATTATTTTAATTTAGATTCAGTATAAAATGAAATCTAACTAAAAGGTTACACACATTATTAAAAAAAAAACTATAATAAAGAAAAACCAAAATTAAAAATTTTAATTATTATACAGTCCTACTCCCCCCGATCCCCGTGGTATCGTGATAAAAACGCTGGCTGCGTTTCCACGCTGAATGGCTATACTTAGCCTTTGAGCGAGAAAAGAACGAGCCCACTTATCACCAGCAGCGACGAACGTTTAGATTTCTTTGTTATTCACTATGATACGGATTTCATGGAAGGTTAGTGCAGTGGTAGAGCCATGCTGCAGCTATATTAGCAGTATAGTTGTAGCACGAATGGGTCGGCTCGACCAGGCTACGACTACGCTCTCACAGAATACCAGTGTACAATAGCAGCTTAACACTACGGTAATTCGTATGGTGAGTGCAGAGAACCGGAGACCCTTTTTACTGGAAATGAGGCATTCCATCTTAGCCCTTACGGCTGACAACGCATCTGCATTTTGATTCGGAAACGAGGATAGATGTTGATGTCTATGGGCCACAGCAACCACTTACCATCAGGTGAACTCTATGCTCGTTTGTCACCCTACCCTATAAATAAAAACCTTCTGCATCAGACATTTTAGGAGTAATTTGGACAACAAGGCCGCTGTAGTATGATTGATATACCGCCATTGGTACCGACCGCGCTATAGCCACGTCCGTTGTGTAGTAGGAGGTACCGCAAGCAGGTGAGGTTGACAGTTGGGGCCGATTAGATAGTGTTGTGGTTCTCTTCCTTACCCCTCTTCCTTACCCCCCCCCCTCCCCTCCTTAAAGAAGTTTAGGATTGTTATATCTTTTGTAAACATCAAAATCTACACCGGTTCGCAAAAACAGAACATGATAAGGTCTTTTTTTTTTGCGAACCGCTGTTTAGAAGAACCAGTCAGAAGCCCTGAGGTCTATTAAAAATTAATGTTACATTACAAAACCGATGGGACGAACGAACTTACAGTCCACGTGATAGGAAGCCCCATTACTGCAGCCCATGAACACATGCAATCAATATATATAAAACACAAAAAATGTTTGTACCTATGTCCGTTATAGACTTAGAAACCATCCAACCGATATACCCGAAACCGGTTTCGTTAGAAAAGCAATAATGAGAAAATGATTTTAGACCACTAAAGCAAAAAAAAAACTAATACGCTATATCAAAAAGTTAATAAATAAACCAAATTTCCTTTTAAAATATATTTCTTTTTTAGTGTAGTAGCACACGCCGGGTATCCGCTAATCAATTATAAACAAACAAGACTACAGATGCCTTGTCACCATGTCTCACAGCCTATAATAATTATACTGGCTCTCTATAACCTGCTTACCGGAACCAGGCCAGTCTCACTCCGCGCTTTAGGCATGAAAATATACCTACGCTGCGCGGATCATTATAAGGGACTGATTCCGTGAGTTTGTCAACAAAAAAGTATTTTCTGCCGACTTTCAAAAAGGAGACGGTATTCAATACGACGTGTATGTTTTTTTTATGCGTGTTACGATAAAAGAAAGAGACTGAAAATAGCAGCACTTCCCATTAACACTCTTTCATTAATAATGCCGTCGCGTATCGCATGTTTTTAAATAGCAAACAATGTGGTGAAAAATAAAAGTTTCTTCAACCGACTTCAATGTAAATAATTAAAAATTTTGTACAGCCGACTTCAATATAAGTTATAACTCAAATAACTCAAAAACTATTGGTCTGACCTTGATCAAATTCATATGGAACCACACGAGAAGTATCAGCTTTAATATAAAAAAGAATCATCGAAATCGGTCCACCCAGTAAAAAGTTATGAGGTAACACACATAAAAAAAAGTCGGCAGATAAAATGAGACCATCAATTTAGTCGTAAGTAAATTTAATACGCATTATTAACGATAACTTCAAAACTATTTGTCAGATCTTAATTAAGTTTATATGGGACTACATAAGAAGCACAAACTTTCAAATAAAAAAAGAATCATCAAAATCCGTTCACCTAGAAAAAAGTTCTGAGGTAACACACATAAAAATACAGTCGAATTTAGTAGCTCCTTCTTATTTTGAAGTTGGTTAAAAATAGTAAGTATTTAAATTATCTGAGTTTCAAAGATGTTCACGTTGTTATACTCGTAATCTTAATTTTTCTCGATGTTGCATATTAACCTTCCTCACATTGAACGATAATTTTCTAATTATCAGCAAATTATTAATACATTGCATAACATCTTGGTGTATTCTACTACCAACTAATATCACAGGATTCAATTTTTTTTCTCACAACGCCTAACCCTACAGTAGGAGCGGTCTTAACAAATGTACGTTACCCAACGGTTAAGTAACGGGCTAGGTAATACAGACTCTCGCAAGCGGATCTAAGGTGCATTTTGATTTAATACGCACGCCGCATCAATCGGTGGGCTATTTTAATGAAGGTCACATCAGAGGCGCGCAAAGTATTATGAAGATTAGCGACGTTGTAACTAGGTTTAAACTTGCAAGTTTGCTATGAGAGAGTGATCCTTCTGCTCTTGTACCATTCTTTATTCTGCGCCGGAACACAGCACTACAGATACTGCTATTAGACGGCAGAAATAGGTAAGAGAGCGGTACTTTAAAAAAAGGAATCCTATAGTCGACAATTACAATAGTTACAATATACATTATAATAAAAAATTTAAAAATATGCAATATTAAAGATCTAAAATAAAAAAAAATAAAACTAATAATATAAATTATCATACATTCCTGCTCCTCGTGGTATCGTGACAAGAACGCTGGCTGCGTTTCCTCGAAATGTTGAATAGCTATACTTACCCTTTGAGAGAGAAAAGAACCTGCCCTCTTATCACTAGCAGCGACGACCAGTCACGGATAGAGTTCCTTTAGGAACTTCACCGCATGTGAACCCCATGGACCCATAGTCTCTACAACAAATGGCACAAACATGTCGTCATCTCTGAGACTCATATTTGCGCCACTTACTTAGTTCAGCTCTGAGTAGTAGTAGTTTTATTATTTGGCGTAGTAGTAAGTATTTTTATTATTTGGCGGCCTCTGATGCCGCCAAATAATAAAAATACTTACAATGAAATCAATACAATTCCAGTTGTCTAAAAATATTTTAAAATCGTGGTTTTAAACAATATATCAGTAGCCAATATCGGAACACACCTTAAAGAAGTCCCTTAGCCGCGGCGCAGCTTTCTCCGCGAAATCTGACATTTGTCTTGTTAAACTTCCACAGTCCACACTTTACGTTGTTGCAAAAACGTTGTTGACCATAAACCACCTTGAATTTGGGATAATGTGAAATAAAAGTAGAAAGACTTATTTACGCGTATTTTCAAAAACTGCAATAACGGTATATCATTATTTATATATTTGAACTAAAGTTTAAAATTTGGTTAATCTTTGAAAATTAACCCTGATTATTGGTAAATGTACAACCTGTAGATTTTGTTTAATGAATAATAAATAATGTTTTAGTTTCGTGATTAATATCTCATGATGAACACATTCGAAAGCCTTGGAAAGATTACAAAAAATACCTAAGGCATCTTGTGAACTCTCCCAGGCATTA